GAATACCAAAAGTTTCACAATATGATGTCGAAAAAATGATATTCTGCATGGGATTTCGGTTAAGTGTATTTGTAAGAATTTTCTAACAAGGATTAAATGAGATACGTAGATTAGTGATTACAAATTTGTTTTACACTGTCGTATTATAGTAACGACAAAAAATGAATCTTGGGACGATGCTACCCGAGATTAGTCGGGGTGTACAAAACGTTTTGGGACGTATTTGTGATTTCCATGGTCTGGCTGTTCACGGTTGCTGGAGGAAAGCCGGCGGAGCCAGCCATTCCAGGGACGAACGCGAAGCTTTTGTCTTGAGTCTCGTGGTGTAACCATCCCACCCTTATTTTTCTTCTTTCCTTCTTTTCAAATGTAAGCTGACCGTAGTCCGTGGGACACGAGTATCGCATACGGCAGAAACCTTCGTTTCGTCCTTCTCGCGCATTCCTCCGATCCCTCTTTTTCCTTTCCCTTCTCTCTTCTCTTCTTTTTCCGTTGCCGTTTCTTCGACGTCTGATGGACAAGCAACTTCGCCGCGATAAACACGTCGAAGCACGCTTTGTTTAGATAAGCCCACTTTCCTCTAAATGGCAAATGAAAGGCCTTAGTGCCTTTCGGAGAAAATAAACACCACTCCTTATGGAGAAAATTTCAATCATGCATATTGAGTAATATTAACTGAAGTATTTCCGAACTATTTTGTCATTCATTAGTTCATAATTTCTTATAGCGATTCTGGGAATCGCAATATTTTGCATTCAAATGTAAAATTAGTATAATAAAATTAAATTGAGACAAGAGTATTAAAACATCGTAATTTAGTATTTATTAGCAGTCATAAAATTTATGTATTACCCTTTTTATGAGAATAATCAATTAAATATATTAATTGTATTTGCATGATACAAATGGTTTACACGTATAAAACTTGAAATAAATATATAATGTATTTTACCGTTTGCATTTTTCAAAAACCGAGGCGAGAATAACAGGGTCAATCGACTTAAAATAGCGGACAGCGATATTAAACGATCACTGCGTATTGTCGACTCGTCTTTCCTTTTGTATCGAATGATACGGAAAAGCGTGGCAAAAAGGAAAACGCGCACAAACTGCTACCCGAATTGTCACCCGAAAATAGTGTAACACGACGATCGATGACACTGTTACTTTTTAACTTCCACAGCTAAACGTAGCTATTCGTTTGTTTTCCGGTTTGACCACCGTTTATTTTTTCTCTTTGTTAGTTTTACTCTACAGACCATAGGTTTTAGAAGCCTATTTTATTTATTTATTCTAACGAAAAATATGGTCATTTTTCGTACAAATGAATGAATGCATCTAAAATTTATACATTGATATGAATAGTTTTATGAAAAGATTGATATCGTTTTTAGACTTCTAGCGCTCCTGTGCTACTAATTATTAAAGTATAATTGCAGTGAGTTTGTTTTTAGAAATACCGGCCATACTGGCATTGTCATTGATAGTCAGTCTTCGTTTAAATATCACTCGACACTCTCCATTGTTCCAAGTCGTTTACCTGCCCATTTTTCTACCCCAACTCCGAATGCCGTTTTCGATAAGAAAAATCGAATGCGACTTCTGGCTATTGTTCAAATACATGATCGCTTATTAAGGTTGCTCTGGCTATATCACAAAACGTTCCACGTTTTTTAAATATCGTGTAAATACCGATTTTGTTGTACAATTAGTCGCGTTAAAAGCTTTTAATTGAAATACAATAAAATGATTATTGAAGTCTTCTCATTTTAGTCATTGTGTTTCGAGTATTTTTACTATTACTGTTTCTAATTTGAAATTGTTTCAGGGCATTTGCATGTGCCAAACATGAATTTATGATAATATTTCTTTCATTATCTAAGT